CTAGTGGGTGTCTTCTGTAAATCAGGGAAAAATGTATGATATTTATTTTTTGCTCAGAAAAACAAAAACAAAAACAAAAATACAATTACATGAAACAGAAAACTTAAAAAAAATATATATATATTTTTTTTTTAAAAAGCATACCTCCAGTCTGTGCATCAAAGCGCTTCGTAGCAATCGCATCAATCTCATCGATAAAGATAATGGCTGGGGCATTCTCTTTGGCCAGTCGAAAGACATCTCGCACCATGCGTGGACCCTCTCCGAGATACTTCTGCACAAACTCAGATCCCACCACACGAATAAAGGCCGCTGCAGAACATTAAAACACAATTATAACAGTTGTAATATAATCATGTGCTTCTGATCTAGTTATTTATTTCCATCTGTGTTCAGGAATGAACTTCAAAGTTCAATAATAAAGCAAATTTGGGTATAATGGCTGAAAGACCTCGAACCACACTTTAGCCTACCTGTGGTATGGTGAGCCACAGCTTTTGCCAACATAGTCTTTCCACAGCCAGGTGGGCCATACATGAGCACTCCTCTGGGTGGGTCAATACCAATCTGAGAACAGAAGTAGAATGTGAGTGGACAACTAAGACTGCTACACACCACAGGTACTTGCATGCACATACTCACCTGTTTATAGAGCTCAAAATGTGTGAGGGGGAGCTCCACAGCCTCCCTCACTTCCTGTTTCTGGATGTCCATTCCTCCGATGTCCGCGTACATCACATCTGGCTTCTGGTCTAGTATCATATAGAGGAGAAATGCATTAAAAGGGACCACAACAAAGTCGCCGCAAGAGTTTTTCAGAAATAAGGGGCAATCTAGATCCCTAATAAAGGGCAAACAAGGAACTGATTGAGAATACCTGAAGTAAGCATCATGATGCTGCTGTCAGCCTCTGGAGGCAGAACGTCCACCAGAGCATTGCTGTGCTTGTGCAGAGCAACAGAGGCATTGGGCTTCAGCAGCTCTCTGTCGATTGTGCTCAGAATCCGAACATAGTAATTTGAGCCTGAAGGAATCAAAAAAATAAAAAATTGCACAGCATTACTGACCAAGCTAAATCATGTAGCTTTAACTAACAAACATTTACAGATATCATGAAATTTCAAAGGCACATTTAAGCATTTGCCATGATTTATTTTATCCAAAACAACTTAAAGTGCAAGGCATACATTTTAAATAGTTGAAGTTAACCGTTTTGAAAATCCAGAAATTAGAACAGATTGGTAATCCTGTAACTGATACTACCCAGGGTTTCTGCAGGTTTTATGAAAGTAAATCTAAGACTTTTTAAGACCAAGTAAAGAAAATAAGGAATTAAGTGATTGGTAAACAATGTGTCAAAATGGTCTCTAAATGTAAATGTCTTGTATAATGCTTCAAAGTAAAAAAATAATAATAATTCCAATACATTTCAATTACTTTTTAATTTATTTTACAAAGCATAGACAATGGCTTGAATAGCTCTGCTCCCAACCACTAGAATATGGAAATAGCTTTTTCTGTACCATCCAATCACAACGCAATGTTCTTCATCAGCGCAAACATCTAAAGATACTTAAATCAAGATACATTTATACTTGACGCCAAATGACAAAGAAAGAAGTCTTGTTTTCTGAGAATCTGAAAAAAATCTGAAAAATCAACTTAAATCAATTTAAAGGGAAAAAAGCTCTCATACCTCATTGTCATTTTTGTTCTTGTTTCAAGCGTAAACTCACTTAATTTTATCTATATCTTTTTTTGCATCTTGACTAAATGTATCTTGCTTTAAGGGTGCTTGGATATTTGTACTGGAAAACAAGACAAAAATTCTTAGGGAGGTTTTAATTTTGGCAGCGCATGCAACATGTAATGCCATAACTTCATAAATGTAAGACTTTCTGCTCAAAAGAGAAAAGGCGAATTAAGACTTTTTAAGACTCGCAGAAACCCTGTATACCAAACAATCCTCGTACCTGTGGTTGAGCCCACAATGGCTGTATTCTGGTCGACTGCTTCCAGGAACTGCCCAATAACCAGAGGGATGCTCTGTATCCTCTTCACCTCCTCTTGGGCATGAAGGAACTCCTTTTTCAGATTCTTCTGTTCATCTTTAATGTATTCCTCCTGCACCTCCAGAAACTCCAGCTCCTGCTGCAACTTCTGCAGTGTGGATGTGATTACGTGTCAACAAGTAGGGTAGAGTCAATTTTCAGTGGTCAGTATTGTGATAGGCAAGTAGCATATCAATCACACACATAAAAAAACAACTCACAAAAATACAAACCTTATATCTGCTGTAAAGATCCTCCAGATCTTCTGGTTCAGGAGCCAAGAAAGACAAGCCGGTCTGGGGCCTTGAATTCAGCAGCAGGGCCGGCACATCATCCTGTAGAGCAAAAAAAATAAAGAAAGAATGATCACAAATATGTAAATGCAAGGCAATATTTCTTGAAGACACACAATTAAATAGTCATAATTATAATTATGATTTATTATAAAATATCTGGATTTTAATATCATTTTACAATAGTTACAATAAATTATCACACAGAATTAGCATAATATAATGCAAAGCACATTATTAAGGCATATTCAAACAGTTTTATGACTGTAAAGAAACTGATATATTACATATTCATATTTTAACGTACATACACTTACCGTTCTGTTAAGCGTTATACAAAGCTTCGAAATAATTGTTCTTATAAAGTGTTACTAAATAAATGTAACGTTACTAAATAGCTGATAAACTGCTATGCTACATGGCTAGGCAATAGCTCAACTGATAAATGTTCCGTGTGAAAAACTTTGTTCAAAATAATCATATACAATTCAAATATGATCGAAAGTAAAGTTTTAAACTCTGCATATTCGTAATGATCACTACTCTTCAGTTCTTGTGGGGAGCACACATGCTAACGCTAGCCGCTGTCAGAGAATGGCATGACTGAGCATTTGCAGCGAGCTGAATTAATCGGCATCTTTTCACTGTTCATTGTAAGCTTTAGACTTGCGTTCTTGCTGTATATATGTTTTGCTTATATAGACTAGAACTTTTTGAAGATAATACCGGCGTGTACGCCACCCCTCTCTTTGTAAAACACTTAAAATCACAACAACATCTCACCTGAGGTTTCTCAACCAGCACTCCGCCGTCCTCCATGTTTGCTTGCAGCAACTGATGTGAAGTTCCCCAAATATTCACCGGGTCCTAAAGGCCACTTTTTTCATCTCCTTTCATTGCAGAGTTCCGTGTATACCAAATACATTGCGCCAACGTGTGAATTATGTGAAATATATATGTTTTGACACACATACATAAACTGCCGTTCCAACTAGGCTACTGTTTTGTAGCATTAAATTGAACAAAAGTGACAGTAAAGATTTTATATTGATACAAGACGTCAACAATAAATGAATTTCTTTTAACTTTTAATTCATCAAAGCATCCTGACAAAAAAATCAGCTTCCATATAAAATGTAGTAGCGCAACTGTTTTCATTATTGATAATAATATAAGACATTTAAAATCTTACCAATCCCAAACTTTTGAACTGCACCACGTTTATTATACTTCCAGTGACAGTTTTTGAGATGTACCTCATGAAGACCAAGTGTGACAATTGGAAATTGGGTACCAAAAAGGTGCACTGTGCCTTTAAATTTGAGTGCCATGAGTAATTTCTCCTGATTGAAAAGGGCAAAATATATTCATTTAAGGAGCAGTTGTTTTTGATTGTTTTTATTGCATTTATTGATAAATCACCAACCAGACTTCAGATTCCAAAGATGAAGCATTTTCATCTATTTCAATGGTTTTATTTAAATGTTTATTATATAAAATGACATATTTTCATGTCACAGTTGTGTGGGAGTTACTTGGGAACACAGACCATTTTTGAAACCAGACATGGCACAGCAAAAAGGGACCTTCAACTGCCCACTCAATGACTCAATAAGTTAAATTCCTCACTAATATCCTCTTAATAATATCCTTGAAAATAATTAATGTGTCATATTCAATCTACTGCCTTTTGATACAGAAAAGTATTTAGATTAGACTGTCCAATGGCAATAAGCAATTTTTGATGCACAAAGGACTGTTTTTTTTTTTTGATGCACAAAGAATATTTCGATGCATGAATAAGGAACGCTTCCTTGATGCACAAATAGATTTTTTATTTATTTGTTTATTTTTTTTAACTATATATATTTTTTTTTTTCAAAACTTCTGACCAAACAGGGGAATCCTTTTGGTGGCTGAGCCCTCTTCATCTTGACATCCTCATCGTCAAATGTACCCTGAAAAGACGTGAGATTCCTTGCCTCAACAACACTGCATCTTTTCTGTGGGCCAGCAAGTGGCTTCACAGGAACACAGGCTGGTTCCAGAACAGTCATTTTTGTGGACACAGCAACAGGGTGTTCAAGCAGAGACGTAGGCCTACGTTTGTCCACCTTCACTGGGCGACTTGCAAAACTGGGCAGCCGGGGTAAGGAGAGGTGAGCGGTAGTTTTCCAATCAGACTCATATAAAGGTTCATTGACATTTCTCTTTGCCATGCCCATTAAATGGTTAGTAGGTCTGGACCCTCGACGCCCCAGAGGTCTTTCATCTGAAACTGATGTCTTCTCTTCAGCTTCTGGCAAGAAGAAATGTCCAGCTGACTTGTTCTGTCCAACTAGAGGTTTCACAGGAAAATGGGTTGGTTCTAAAACAGGCAAGCTCGTGGACACAGCAACAGGGCATTCATGCAGAGACGTAAGTCTGTCCACCCTCGCTGGTCGACTTGCAAAACTGGTTAGCCGGGGAAAGGAGAGGTGAGCGGTAGTTTTCCGATCAGTCTCATATAAAGGGTCATTGACCTTTCTCTTTGCAATGACCATTAAATGGTTAGTAGGTCTGGACCCTCGATGCCCCAGAGGTCTTTCATCTAAAACTGATGTCTTCTCGTCAGCTTCTGGCAAGAAGAAATGTCCAGCTGACTTGTTCTGTCCAACTAGAGGTTTCACAGGAAAATGGGTTGGTTCTAGAACAGGCAAGTTCGTGGACACCGCAACAGGGCATTCATGCAGAGATGTTTGTTTGTCCAACCTCGCTAATTGACTTGCAAGACTATGCAGTGGGGGTAAGGAAAGCTGAGCATTAGCTTTCAGATCAGACTCACATGACGATTGTGTGACATTTCTCTCTGCCACATCCATTAAATAGGTAGGAGGTCTTGGCCCGTGACATCCTGGAGGACTTTCACCTGGCTTCTTTTGTTCAGTCTCAGGCAAAAAGGGAGGTATGCCAAAAATCTGTTTGCCTAGGCATAGCATAGATTGACTCTGGAGAGTATTTCTGTCTCTGCACCACATGTTGAAATGCTGGAGTGAAGATTATCTCAACAACAGCAACAAAACTGGCTTGAATGAGCGATAAGCAAGCAGCAATCACAACAGTCAGATACCAAATGAAGCTCTTTTCACCAGGATTCTTTGTAATGTGTAATGACTATTATGATGTCAGAATAGAATGTAGGTCCGTTAAGTTGAGTTCATTCTATTGGTGTTTTATCTACTGAGGATTTTTTTTTAAATCATGCAATGCGCACAATCTAGTAGCCTAGGCCAGTGAATCTCAACCTTTTGGCGTACCGGACCCCAGTCCAATTCAGAACCATCCTCAAGGACCCCCAGAACAAAATTGACTCATCTATGTATCATTTGTGTGTCTTTGTGAGGACCAAATACAGTCAAGTATAATTCAAGTTAGCTGACTTGTCCAGTATTTGGCCATATCATCAGCTATATTGGATTTTTCTTTCATGGGAACATGTCAAAATATACTAAATTTATACAAAAATGCATACTTTATATGGACCCCCTGGCCTTATGTCAAGGACCACTAGGGGTCCACGGACCCCTGGCTGAGAAACACTGGCCTAGGCTACACATTGTTTAATTTTTTGTTTTGTTAACCATTCATAATATGTTAACCCCGTAAAGAAAAAGCAAATTAAAGTAGAATAAATCGTCTCCGTGGCGTTTTGCAGAAATTAAGTGGTTCGTCACACACAAAAAATGTAGTTCAGACAAAGTATTAAACAGGAAGAGCAATTCACATAAGATATATATTTTACTTTGAATCTGCAGTGTAAAAATAAAAAAACTGAAGAGAAGAGATTTTAATAGGCTACAGTACCCATGCTCTATTACAATATAATCCATCTGTAATTGTGGCTCACCTCATAAATGAAAGTGTGGTTCCCCCTAGAGGTGAGAAACCTATATTACAACTGACCTTCAGCCCCTAGTGATTTATTCACCCTCAGGTCGCTCAAAATCTGTACCTTTCTTCTGGAAACAAAATTTGCATTGGAGAATATCCTGCCCATTCTTCTTAATAAAAGTAAAAATCATAATCCACATCACTCGCACGCGGTATCCAAAGTCTTTCGAAGCAATGATATATTTTTTATCAGATGAAATTTCAGTCACTAAAACTTTTCTATTCTTTCTTGCTCTTCTTTCCGCGTTCATAATTGTGATGTTCGATTCGTAAATGAATCATTTGTTGACATATCGAATCTTTTCATGAATCAGTTTTCATTCACAAAACCGATTTGAATAATTCGTTTTCAAATCGGACTGGTTCTCGAGTTCACAGCCTCACTGACTGGAATACCGTTGAATCGGTCTGTTTCTCACACTATTATTATGGCATTAAACCCTCAAATTATTCATCATTACTCAAGATACCCTTAACGTCACATTTTTCCCCATATGAGATTCAAAAGCATTTTAATAACAGTGTAAAATGAGTGTGTGTGTGTCTGAGAGAGAGAGAGAGAGAGAGAGAGGTTTAGGGTCATGCTTATTAATATTAACGTGATGGTTTTACTGCCAGTTCCGAGAATAATCTGTTCTCGAATAATCGTAACGAATATTTGAGATAAAACACGTCTTGCGTCACGCGTCACGTTCAGCACTATACAATCTTGCGCATCCGAAATAGTGTGAATGAACGCGAAGGTCGATAAACCATCTGTTTACGTTGCCATAACGACTTGAAATTTTAACCCCCCGACATCTTTCTTTCCATCTATCCCACTACTGCAATGCATCAGTCTGCACATCCCTCCCTGCTCCCTCCCAGTCTATCCCAAACGCAGCATCCTTCCCTACAGCGTGACATATCGCCAATGAACGCACCACGTTATGGCTTAACTAACGTGTGGTGCTCCGGTTCAAACGGATTATTTTGTGCATATTCTAATTAATACCGACCATTTATGCGGGGACAGCAGCACAATCTGGTTAATCTCCGTGACCCACAAATAAACACCTCGCGTGACCGACGGAATGATTTAACGGCGCGAGCGAATCGACTTCATCCACTGAGAAGCCGTTTTTTGGGATCGTATCTGACTGAATGAAGACAAGCGTGGGAAAGGAACGTTTTATTAAATAAACGCGTGTGGTAATCGGTAACGGTAGGCTGAGAAATATTCAAACCACAAGCTCCTAGAGTTCACGTTTATAACTGTTGACAGGGGAAATACCGTCGACGTTGTTGGTATTTGCATCAGAATGTTGTTGCGTCTGAATATTGTTTAAAAATCTAGGGAATGTAATTTAAATGATCTTTAATTCATCCGCATGTAACGCAGGCGCATGAATGATGTATTATTAGCATTTTTGGCGATAATTATTCGCTGTTAGACATAGGCTATGCCTTGATGTTTGACAGTTGGAAATACAGACGCTTTAGCAAAATAACAGATGGCATGAGCCATAACTACATCCGGTCATAGTAAACACTTATGAGCATGCAACTTCATATGCATTTATTTAAATGAGACAAAGACACAAACATTAAATCCAGTGCATGTTGAAGTTCATTTAATAGGCAACCTGCTAAATCTTGTTATTTGATGTACAATGCAATGTGAATTTCCTCAAAGCATAGGCTACATTTAGCAGGTCATTCCTCTTCATAATTGGCTATAAGCCTATAACTTCAAGTTGAAATTGATTCTGAGAGATTTATCCTCATGTTCACACATTAACATAAGCAATAACTCACAAAATACATAAGCAATAAATATAATTTAGAGTAGAAGGGAATGTCTGAATGTATGTTTGCATGAGGCCAAAGACACAATCATTAAGTCATTAAGGCAAACATTCTTAGTGATGCATTCATTGCATTCATTGTGATGCATGCAAACATTACGTCACTTAAAATAGTTTTTTCTCAGGTTAAATCAGCCAGCTGATGTGTAACAAATTTATAATACAAAATTCTTATTTAATGTCACTTGTCTTCCATTACCTGCATACATTTCTCATTCTAAATAATCACAAACCTCAGCTCAAAGTCTTCCACTGCCAAGAAAACAAGAAAACTTTGTTGTTTAGTGAATATATCAGCATATATATTTTAGAAATCAGATTAGGTACTGATCAGAGTATTTTATCTCTAAAAAGTGTATTAATATCCATTATTAAGAAAGTACTTGCTAACATATAAATAGGTCAAGAAGAAGTGTTACTGACTGAAACTTGAGTCTGGCATCTCAGCTCTTTTTTCTTTCATGGAGTAACTGAATACTCTGTGCCTGGACTTATTGAACTGAGGGCGTCACATCTCTGATACTCCCTCATTGGTCTCCCTTGCTCCTCAACACTCATCTCCCACCAGACTAGAAGGACAGGAGGAAACATCATCAGGGTCTGAACTAAGAGTGAAGCCCACCATCATCTCCCCGTTTTCTACACTGTCAAGCTCATCTGTTCTCAGATCCAGAAGACGTATTTCCTTCACAGAGCTCCTGTCTCGCTGTGGACTACTTGCCAAGACCTCCTGCTCTTCGGTTTAAGCCTGTGTTTTGTTTGTGTGTGTTTGTGTGTGTGAAAGACAGAGACACGACTCCGAAAGCAGCACCTATCATCTGTGAGGATGTCTGCACTGCGTCTTCTGTGGGTCCCTGTGCTGTTGTGTTTAACACACGGTGAGTGCCTTAAGCGCAACATTGAACATGTGAGACATAGATAGATAGATAGATAGATAGATAGATAGGAATAACAACGGACATTATACACTAATAAAAAATCTATTTCTATCTACACAATTTTATAATTTTTATATATATATATATATATATTTTTTTTTTATTTTTTATTTTAACTCCTCAACACTCATCTCCCACCAGACTAGAAGGACAGGAGGAAACATCATCAGGGTCTGAACTAAGAGTGAAGCCCACCATCATCTCCCCGTTTTCTACACTGTCAAGCTCATCTGTTCTCAGATCCAGAAGACGTATTTCCTTCACAGAGCTCCTGTCTCGCTGTGGACTACTTGCCAAGACCTCCTGCTCTTCGGTTTAAGCCTGTGTTTTGTTTGTGTGTGTTTGTGTGTGTGAAAGACAGAGACACGACTCCGAAAGCAGCACCTATCATCTGTGAGGATGTCTGCACTGCGTCTTCTGTGGGTCCCTGTGCTGTTGTGTTTAACACACGGTGAGTGCCTTAAGCGCAACATTGAACATGTGAGACATAGATAGATAGATAGATAGATAGATAGATAGGAATAACAACGGACATTATACACTAATAAAAAATCTATTTCTATCTACACAATTTTATAATTTTTATATATATATATATATATATTTATTTTTTATTTTTTATTTTAAAATGTTATATTTATAATTTTATATTTACTTTTATATATCATATATATGTGTATATATTTTAATATATTATGTAGATAGATATCAAATATATACACTATAATAACAAAGAATTACATTTTTTACATACATGCATACATATAATCACACACATTTAATTTTTTTGATTCATATTTAAATTTTTTATATCATTTGTGTGTGTATACATATGTAATGGATATATTATTTTAAATATATTGATTATATATACAGTATATATTCAGTTATTTATATACAAATGTATATACATATTTATGATATTTGAAAATCACATTATTATTATTATTATTATTAATATTATCACAAGAAGTAGCACATGTATTCTTGCCAGAGCCATTTGTGATGAATTATTAGATATTATATTTAAAAAAATAATGCAACTGAAGTGACATTAATTGCTTCATGAAAAGCGATTTAGCACCTGTTCAGTAGTGGTATGTCTTCACAGTAGGTGTGTTTATGGGTTTTTGTGTTCCCGGATTCCTGAGTAAAAACCCAAACCAGCTGTCACTGTTTGTAGAGCGTGTGTTGGCGCTAAAATGGAGCCGTGTGTGATCAGGGAGGTCGAGACTGTAATATAGCTCTTGCCCAAAGCTTGGCTGCTTCTGTCACAAGCTGTTATTATCTTCTAGTTGGTTG